ACATGCCTCAGTCCCTCGCTGTCTCTTTGGTTCTGCTGCATAAGAGCACCTGGGGAAAAGCGGTGTGTGACAGGAACATCTGGAGAACTAGACCACCAAAGAGCCAATGTGCTACGTGGGCTTCGGAAAGGAGCTGTTATTGCAGTATGAACAAAGTCCAGTGGTGTCTTTTATTGCTTTTTACAAAGTCACGTTCATGCTAAAAACCTTCAGCCTACTGTGTTTGAAATGCACCGAGGTCTATCTGCAAAATTAAGTTACCTGAAGGAAAAGGAATAAAAAGTATTCAAATATAACACTTCTCCTTTCTTCTATGCCTACCCCCACCCACTCTCTCTCAACTTCACGATGTTTTTATTTGCTATGTAATGTAATTCTAAGAATAATCAAAAATTTAAATTATTTGCATGAAAAGTTAGTTACCTGGGTCAGTAAATACCGGGATGGGGAGGGAGGGTTATCTTGAAAATAAAACTTTTGCATTTATAGCAATGCTTTAGCAGCCACAACTCTGTCATAATAAAAGCCTTCCATCTGCACAGCATGGGGCTTCCAATTGAAATCTATTATCTAAACCAGTGGTTCTCAACTGGGGCAATTTTGCACTGCCCCCCCAACACACATTTGACAACGACTAGAAACACGTTGTCACAACTGGGAGAGTGCTACTGGCATCTAGTGGGTAGAATCCAGGGATGCTACTAAACATCCTACAATGCACAGGACAGCTCCCACAACAGAGAATTATCCAGCCCAAAATGTCAATAGTGAGAAACCTTGCTCTAAACTGAAAAGGATGGTGAAGCTCAATTATCTCCTCTGCAGCTGACTTAGAGCCAAGAACACCGAAGGCTTATGTTAGCAACTACAGACTCTAGCTACAAACTCAAGAGCACTTAGAAACATCAAGCAAGCATTTTTTAACAAAACTTACCATTTCCCTTAAAAAAAGAATCAGTCACAATTTGTGTCCTCTCTTGATACTGGCCCCCAGAGATGTAATAACCAAACACAAGGCAATATGGATTCATTTCAAGGCTGTTATTTTTTGCAGTAAAGGAGGCTGGGGGCTGGGCAAGCTTTGAGAATAAAACCAAAAAGCTCAAAAAGATAAATGAACATTCTGTCACTGGAGAATCATGACAACAAACTTGTGTCTGAGAGAGGGCTGGAGTGGGGGGTAGATATAAAGTGAGACAGAAGCATAAAAGTACTAAGCAAAAATGAAAAGTCGACAGAGAAATGGGCAAGGTTAAAAAGAAGGCATTTCCCTTCTGTGCCCGAAAGGATGAGAAGCACTCTGGTACCAGGGAGGGCGCTGGAGGCCAAATACACCAGTGTAAATCTTGAGGCAGGCAAAGAATGGCTAAAAGGAAGAGCTGGCAGCCCCCTCAGCCAAACACCCTGCACACATCACAGACCTTCCTGCTATGCATCTGGACCTTCCAAGCCTCAAGGCTTTCCACATCAAACCTGATGCCCCAACCAAAGGCAAGCACTGGGAGTTCTCCCAGAGGCCACACCCCTGTCCTCTGTGCCTTTGCCCAGGCTGTTCCTTTGGCCTGGAATGCCCCACCACCCTCACCTCTCCAGCCCTGGTCCTGACTCAGTCACCCTCCCTCAGGGTGTCCTGGAAGGTGCCCCTGCCATCCTGCCACTTGTCTGTGTGTCCGGTGGGTGGAAGTCCACTGAATGTATCTGAGTATAGATGTACACAGTTGCCTTTGTGTTTGTGTATATGTATGTCAATTTTTTACCCACAGGAGAAATAACATTTTCCAAACTGTCCCTCAGCATTCTCTCCCCTTAAAATCTCTTATGCTTTCCTTTCTTCTGTTGCTTTTTAACTGAGATAATATCCAACCTCTATTCATTTGGTTTATTTAGTTGTAGCAACCACACATGTTTATGTCCAGAACATCTGCAGTCTCTATTAAGAAAAGACCATCTAACAGACTTCTTTGCTGACAGTGATGAAGAATTTACCTGACATTAAAGTATACAATTAACCTAAATTCCACATTGCTTCTCATTCTACTCTACTAAAGTCTAGGATAGCAGAGCATTCTTACTCTGAAAAGTAAATGCTTCCACTACTTGCTGTTGACATGAACACTAAGCTCACTATGTCAGGAACAAGACTTCCTCATTGTTACCTCTACTCTGAATTTAAGTTAAAATTATAAAATGGTATGGTGGCCTCCCTGGTTGGGTTTACTTGCATTTATGAAACTGTCGCTTCTTCTAGCATGCAATGAATGAATGAATGAATGAGAAATCAAGGTCAAAGCAACAGGAGACCAGGTTTACTTAAGTCACTAGTAGGCAAAGTGGACATGGAGACACAGAGGATCCATAGTTTCTCATTTGTAAAATGGGACAATAATTCACTTACAAGTTAAAAATGTTACATAGGTTATCAGGTTATAAAAATAAAGATAATAAGAGATAGCTACTGTAATGAGTGGTAAGGCATGTCATAATATATAATAAATGGTAAGGGTAGTTGCTCAACAAGTGATAGTACTAAGTAAATAATACTTGGCCAAAGAACCAGTGTGCCACACTGAAACTGCCAAAACAGAACGGGAAGGAAAATAGCTCAGAGGCCCAAAGTAGGCAAAATGAGTCTTATCTCAGGTGTGTCACTCCCCAACACTCTGTCGCTAAGCTAGGGCCCAAGTGAGAAAGCTAATAAGCATGTTTCTCCTCCCGGGACTTGACGTGAGTTGTGTAATGCAAAAACATAGTTAATTTTAGAAATATTTATAAAATGTTACATAAATAAGTTACATTAGCTCTCTCTCTTTTTTTAACATTAGTTCTCTTCAAACTTATTAACAATCTACTGAAAAGTCTTGCTCGAAACAACAAGATATAGTCTTTTGTCATCATCATGACACCCAACAAATCTGTTGGCCCAAGTAGCAGACAGTGAACATTTGGAGAGAGCTGGGAGCCCCCTTTGCTCATCACTTGCTCTGTCTTAGAACCTGTGGTAGCTCCCCACAGTCTAGCCAATCACATCGTTTCCAAACTGCAGTCCTGCGGTCCAGGGCCCAACCTGCTGCCCAGGGCCCAATGGAGCCACTGCACCCTATCCCTGCCACACTGGGGATCTCCCACTGCCGGCTGTCTACTCAAGCTTGGGCCTTTGCTTGACCCCCTTTCTGAGCTCTTGCCTACAACTTCCTCCCTCCTCCACTCTCTAGGTTGCTCTAATTTGCCTTCCATGGAAGCTTTTTCCTTTTTCCATTTAACTTTCATGGCTTACTGCAATCGTGAGCTCAAATTTAGTGCAAGTCTGACATTCAACTCTAGTAGTTTTAAGTGCATGAATTTGTGCACTTGGAGTGCCTCACATCTTTAGTGTCACTTACAGTGCCTAGACAGTACTAGGGCCATTATAGATATTCAGTAAACTTGACATCGCAGGTGCTTATTAGAACCCTTCGTTATCTATCAATGACAATGAGGTGCTGAGTTGAGGTAAATTACCCCATGGATTCAATCCAAAAAACACTTGTATTAATTACCAAGCTTCTTAAGGCAAGAATGTTTTCTGGTCTTAATTATTTGGACTATTATTTTGTCACTACTCAACGGAAGACACCACCATATCCTTGCAAAACACTGAAAGCTGAATCTTCACAAACAAGGCAAGATTAACAAAATATTCTCCAAGGTTAGTTCTCCAGCAGCATTCTGAGAGGGATCAATTATGCATGCAACTCTTAGGCTTCCAAATTCTGTCTTAGATAGCTTTCACTAGGAATGCCTCAGATATTCTGGTGTGAAATATCTACATAATTACGACAATCCTTCCCTCCCAGTTCATTGTAAGAGATTCCCTAAGCAGTGTTTAGGGGTTAAAATGTTTCCAAACAGCAACTCTGTTCTTTCCAAAAAGAATAAAAAAACAACGAACAGAAAATAAAAACAACCGCTCCCAAAACAAAACCCCTGAATCAAGAGAGTTACACACACACACACACACACACACACACACACAAAAAGTAAAATGTTTCCGTCTGGGGTGTCAGGGGTGGGAGGTGTGATCTATTTTAAATTTACAACCACTTAAAAAAAGGGTTCAAGAACCCCCAAATTGAGGAATGTGGATAAAAGACTGGCATAACCCCTAGGAGAGCTCCTGCGGCCCCTCCCTCCAAACCCGCTTTCTTAAAACACATTTATTCTTTCAGCCTCTAAAACGCAACCTTCCCCCAGCATAATTCCATTTTAAAAGCCCCCACCTGCGAGGAAACATTAATCTACTTTGCAAACAAGCGTTCTAGTCTGTGCTTTACTGCTTTTTTTCCAACTCCTTTCCCCCCACCCCCCCCCTTTTTTTGTACCTTGAGACAAATGTTTTTTTCCCCAAGAGTTGAAAGCTGTCCAAAAACAGGACCACACACGCCGCCGCCTCCGCAGGCCCGCGCTGTGCCCGCCCCCCGCCCTCCGCACGGCGGTCGCGGCCGCCGGGGGCGCGCACACTCCCTCCAGCCGGAGGGGTGGCCTCTCTCTGCCCCCCCCCCGCCCTCCTTTCTCTTTGGACGCGGTGGGTGGGGGTGAGGGAGGGAAGGAAACCGAGGAGTACAGCCCGGAGTCGAGAGGCCTTCCTCTGGCCGCGTCTCGGCGCGCGGCGGAAGCGAGCGGCGGTGGCGGCGGGACCCGGGGGCCCCCCGGCCTTGAGGAGTGGTCTGTCCCGCGGAGGGGCCCCCGCGCCCCCGCCGGCCCGCCCTCGCCACTCTCTCCCACAACACCTCGCAAAGCGCAGCGCCCCGAGTAGATTACAGCGCGGCCTTTGTCGGGCGGGCCTGGCTCCCGGCCAGGCGCCCAAACAATAAACAATTCCCCCTGTTGCGGGCAGGGGGTTTTCGCTCTTCACAGAAAGGATCTAGGTGTACGCTGGCAAATATCTTCATCAATTGGATGGAAGGGCAGGGGGCCCGGGGTGGGGGACGAGAGGGCGCTGCGGCGGGCGCTGCATCTCTTACCTTCCACCCACAGCTCCTCCACGTTGGTCTCGAGATTAGCTGCCTTTAATCCCACAGCGAAGGCCCCAAATATGAGGAGGCCTACAACCAAGAACTTGCCGCAGTTTTTTTGAATGTAACAACCCAGTTTAAATAGGAGTCTCTGAAACTTCGCTCTCAGCCACAGCGGCGCTTTCCGGCCAGTAGCTTTCCCCTGAGAATGAAGCAAAAAGGAGGAGTGAGCGCCGGGGAGTCACGGCCCGCGCGCCCACGCCAGCTACTGCGCACCCGCCCGGCATCCCGCGCCAGCCGTGAGGGGTGCCCTTCGGGCTGGACCCCAGGTCGGCCCAAGGAAACACGAGCGGCGTGGGGGGGGCCTGGCCTTAAATCAAAGTCAGGCTGCAGCGTGGCAGCTGCACCTTGGTCACAGCAGGGGCGCCCCCACGCGCGGCCTTCGTAGCATCCCCGAGTGTGACTTGGAGGTCTGGGAGGAGGGGCTGCAAGAACAAGGGGAAGCCAAGGCAAAGAGGAGAGACACCATTCAACACAGGCAATATTCACACCAACCTGGGAAGGGAGGGTCTGCGTAATCCCCGCGATGGAGCCCAATGTTTAAGAACCAGCAAACCACAGCGCCCTTCCCCGCAAGTCCTGCCCCAGCCTTCACCCTTCTCGGGGTTCTCCGGCGAGGACAGAGGCTGGGGGACGAGAGCACTTTGGGAACAATGTTTGGCGGGCTCCCGCATCCTGATCCCCCGCCCGACGTGGTAGTAAATTGGGATACACGTGGTGAGCGTGGGCGCCGGAGCTCACTCGCGACGTATTTCCATAGCGTTGGGAGACGCCGTGTGAGCTGAATTAGGAAGTGGGGCAGCCATCTGCAACTTACGACAATATTTGTGATCGGAAGAGGGCAGCCACATGGATCTTTCCCTCCTCTCCCTTCCCTTCTTGGTTAAACGTGAAAAGCAGCAGAATGCACAGGGGAAGAGCCTGGGCCGACGCAGGCGGGGGTCCTGGCTGGGCGCTGGCTGCTCCCGGCGGTGGCGTTTCCCCGGCGCTGGCCGCGGCCCCGGCCGGCCCCTGTCTGGGTGCTCGCCTTCCCCGGATTCCACACATTTCAGCGAACCTCGTAAACACAATGAACCCGGCCGCTCGACAGACCCGCACCGCGGATTTAAGGTGGCAATTTGTTTACAACTTTCCCTTTCCCCACAGGCTCTGAGAAGAAGTGGCTCAAAAACTGGAAAAGAAGAGGGGAGATACCCTCTTGCGAGGATAATTTTTAAGGGAGCAGAGATTTCATGCTCAACAAAAGCAAAACCGGCTGCCAAAAAAGGAAACCACCTTTATTTCGGCTCCCTCCCCCCCGCCTCGCTCCACTCCGCCTCCCCCTCCAAGAGGTTAAGAAATGTGGCAGTATTACAGGGGTTTAGGCTGCAAATAGGGGCAGGGGCGCGGGAGTAGGGGGCTCAGGAGCAAGGGGCACAGGGCAGTGCCGCGCTGCGGCGGCCCTGGAGGTGGTCCACTGTGGACCTCTTTCCAGTGCTCCGGAAAAGGCACGCCGGGGAGGGCGCGTGCACACGCACACACGCGCACACACACACACACACACACACACACACACACACACCCTCCACCCCCTGCGGACTTCAGACAGCCCTTTCCTCCCAGGACCGGAGGGAGGGTTTGAATTTTTCAGTCCCCACTTGTCTGGTTTTTTTTTTCCTGGAAAGGGGTGTGTGTATGTGTGTGATGTGTGTGTGTGTGTGTGTGTGTGTGTGTGTGTGTGTGTGGCGGGGACGATCCCAAAGAGGAAGAGGAGGGAAGAGAGAGTGGGAGGAGAGGAGAGAGTCTGAAATGCACCTTGGAAATCTGCTCCAGAGCGAAGGCGGCGTCGCAGTAGCTGGGCCGGTGCAGATAGTCCCAGTCCGGCGCGGCGTTGCGACGCAGCCCCCCGGTCCTTCTGCGCCTCCCGCCACCGGCCGGCCGGCCCGGGTCCCCGCTGCAGCTGCCGCCGCCGCCGCCGCGGTCCTGGGGCTCGGCAGCGTTACCAGCCGAGGCCATGTTGCCGCCGCCGCCGCCGCCGCGGGAACCGAGGCTTCCCGGGCGGCCCGGCGCGCTCCTGCCGCCGCTGCGGGCTCCTGGCTCGCCTGGGCGCTCGGCTTGCGAGGACGCTGCTGGCCGCCGGCTGTTCGGGCTGGGGCTCCGGTTGACAGACCTGCTGCTGCTGCTGCTGCTTCTGCCGCCGCTGCTGCTGCTCACACTGCGGGCGCTGCTGCCGCTGCAGCCGCGGCCGCTGCCGGGGAGTCAGACCCTGCGCCTTCCATTGCCACATTGCGCGGGGGTCCCGAGGTCTCTGCGGCTGCCGCTGCCCACATCCAGTTCTCCGGAGAGCGAGAGCCGGCGCGTGGAGCCAGCCTGTCCTTCGGGCGCTCGCGCGGCGCTCTTCGCTGTCCCCAACTCCCCCTACCCGTCCCCCGCCCCGCGCCGCGACCCCTTCACTGCAGAAAGCGCCAGCAAATCCCCGCCGCTCCCGCCGGCCTCGCTGACTCTCTCGGCGTCTCACGGGTCGCCCGACCGGCCGCGGAAGGTAAGCGCAGAGCCGCCGCCGCGGGGTCCGTGGGCGCCCGGTGGGTCTCAGCGCTGCCGGGCCGGGGCAGCCGCCGCCGCCGCCGCTGCTCCTGCGACAGCTGCTGCTGGCGGTGGCGGCTCCTGAAGCTGCTGCTCGGACTGCTCGGGCTGCTTGGGCTCTGGCTCCTGGGTTCTCGGTAGCTGCTTGGTCCCGGACTCTGCTTTCTTGTGCTCCTCGCTGTCCCGCTGGACCATTCTGCCCCAGTGCAGCGCGCCTCTCTCGCTCCCGGGACCTGGGGACTCCGCTCTGTGTGTGTGCAGCGGGCAGCGGCCGCAGCAGCTCCTTGATTCAATAGATGAGATGGAAGAAGAAAAAAAAGAACTCTCTCCATTTGGAGAAAGAGGAGGAGGAGGGGAGGGGGTGGAGGGGGAGAGAGAGAGCGAAAGAGAAAAAGGCTGGAGCTCCCGCCCCCGGGGCTGTCAGATGGCTTGGGTTTCTGCAACATGATTGGCTCGCGGAGGGCAGAAATTACTCAGCAAACATGACTATTATTAGCTGCTTAGCAACAGCTCACCAAAGTAGAGAGACCACCCAGGTAGGCAACCCCAGTGTGTGCATCCCCGGCTTCGGGGGGAGCCTCCGAGAGCGCCAACCTTCTCGCATGCAATACTTCCATTAAGGAATGCTCCCCCTCCCTTTCTTTCTTATTCCTTTTCTTTTCAACAGTGTCTTCTTTTTGTAAGATGCTTTTTGCGCGCGCGCACACACACAGACACCCACGAGCATTTGCCTCGCGATAGACACGGGGGAAAATGTAATTTTTTTAAGCGCTTAAACAATTTCAGAAATTCCTCAAAGAAAACCCTTTCAGAGGCACCTTGGCCTCAAGCTGCAGCAAATACTGGGAGGTCCGGCTTGAATTCCCAGGCCTGCACCAATAATGACAGGGTGGTGGATAGTGCGCCAGTGTGTGCCAGATTTTTTTTTTCCCTTCTCTCTTTTCTTTTATAACCAAAGAGAAGACTTAGGCTCTTGCAGGGAACAACGCCTCGCATTAAGATAAACAAAATGGAAAGTTAAAGAGGAAAGTAGGGACATTGGGAAAAGCCACCTTTCTTAAAGTTCCCTCCCCCCCCGCCCCGCCCCTTTCCCTCTCAAAACCCCTCGGCAGCACAGCCCTGGTTTGAAGGAGTCAGTGTTTTATAAACGTGGAATCCAGACACCGAAGTAGTCTCGTGGAGGCAGAGGAGTTTTTATTTGAATCTTTAATGCGACATAGGTAAAGGAGAAACAACAGAATCCTTTTAACAACCCGGAGAAACAGAAATGTTTTCTCTAGAAAGAGAAAAGTTTTCTTATTTTGGATTCATTTGGACCCCCCCCCTTTTAATTAACCACAAGTCCCTATTTATTTAAAGTCTGTTTTAAACGTTCCCTCCCCAAACTGGTACGCATCGTGTTATATTTAATAGTAGCGTGACATAAAGGAGAATAAAGGCTTTGATGCTGGATTCATTTGAAACAAATTGTGCGCTGATTGCTAGGACTTGTCCGGACACTGCAGCCAGTGTCACCGAGACATGCCGGGGATTCGCTTCCCCTGGAGAAGAAAATACGCGACTCTGAGGTGGATCCTGGGGCCAGAGACAAATTAAACTGTATACATAGCTCTGATTTTTACGTAAAAAAATTTTTTTTGAGAGTATTTTTCTTTGGCAAGTTAAGTTCCTCCCTGAGATGGGGACCAGATCCACAAACCCTCGATTCTGTCTCGTTTTAGTATTTTTCCTATTTTTCTTTTTTAAAAATTGGGTTGAACTGCAGAGGGACTCTCGGCAGCAAGTAGCCGACTGAAGCCGTGAAATGGGGCAGTGTGGCTTTAAGATGCACACGGTGTGTGTTCATTGAAAAAAAAAGAAAGGAAAGAAAGAAACCCAGATGGAGGGAAAGGGGGAGGAGCGGGGGAGAGGGCGGAGCCATGCGACCACGTGACCCAGGGCCCGGCCGGCGCGCGCTCTAGGGCACGGAGGCCTATTAATGCGCGCGCGTGTCCGAGTGCGCCCGCTTGCGCGCGCGCCGGAGCTCCGGACTCCCCACGCCCGCGCAGCCCTGGTCAAGCAGGTAGGGAAGTCGTTGCGCTCGGCTAGCGCCAGGCGGGCTCCAAGTCTCCAGCGCTGGCTCCTGGGAGCCCAGGCGAGGTGCACTCCCCGCCGGCGCGGACGGACGTGCTGGACGCGCCGTAGTACATTCCTGAAGGCGGTCGGCCCCCTTACGTTACCCAATGCCTGCGCGGCCTCCCCGCGGCCGGCCAATCGCTGAGCGCTCGGGTCCCTTACCATTTAGCTGCCCTCTACCGAAAGGGACTGCAGCCGGGTGCACCCGGGCGACGCACGCGGCTCCCGCAGGGGGTCTGTCGGCCAACCCTCCCCGCCGCCTTACTTTCTCTTCGGCGGCTTGCCCCTGCCTCCTTCTTTCAGTCTCCCCTTTCCTTTCTCCTTCCTCTTTCACCCCTTTTCTCCCCCATCTCTCTCCTCCCTACCAGCCTCGCCACCTTCCCTCTAGCTTTTTCTCCTTCCTGGTTTCACTGGGAGGCCCTGCCCTCTGAATCCCAAACCGGCAAAACGTGTGCAGTACCCTGGGCAGGGTAGGGTGTCCAGCAGAATAAACAGACAAAGAGAATAGAAGTGTCTGGGGGTGTTCACGAGATCCGGAGGAGGACCGGAGTACCCGGCCAGCGCGGATATTCAAAACTCAAACTACGAAGGAGCACGTGATTTTGTGCGCGGCTCTGGGAAGGGCTGCGAAAATGCAGAAGGGAAGACAAGCAGCGTGCATTTAAAATGACAGTAGGTTAATAAATAATATCGCAGGAATATTGGGCTCGACACAGCAAGCTTAATCTTTGAGCAATATCATGGTCTTTATTATGTTTGGTAAATAGTATAAATCAGGAAACGTGATTTATTATTCTAGTTTTTCTCACTGAAAGGTTCTACAGACGTTTCAAGTCAAACCATTTTGTGCTTGCTGCTGGAAATTAATTTTTAAACATTGGGGGTGGAACCCTTAAAAAGACACGTCAGTCTTTTTATATTTGAGGCGTGCTGTATAGCAAAGGTAACCATGTAGCTATAGGCAGGGTGCTGTGTCTGTACAAAATTCTTTACAACGTTTTAGACCAAAATGTTAGTTTTTCCACCCAATCTTTTATTTATAGCAATTTCAGTATAGCTACTTAGATTATGGAATTCTAAAATGAAATTATAGGCTATTTACACATAATGGTTCCCTATTACTCTCCGCACGCAGCTGCATATCCTCTTGTTTTGGCGCTGCTACATGTGCACCATTTCAATGGCAAAGCCTCTTCCACTCGGGCTCATTTCCCTGGGTTTGACTTAATTCCTAAACGTTTTGAACATTGATCTCAGGGGTTTTCAGCTCCCTGAGCTCCCTCACCCGCTGTTTGATAGGTTAACTTTTCAGCATTTCAGACAATGCTCTCGGCCTGTAAATTCTACCCATCGGTTCCAGGACGCAATCCCCAGCCTGGGCTCTAACAAGCGCTATCTTAATCTCCCCACCCCCACCCGCCGCTTCCCCTGTGGTCTGCTTTTTTCATACACAGAGATGAATTACTTTGAGGATCTAATTGGCCTTGTTTCTGTAACGTTTTAAGAAAGGGAAGAGGAGCCAGTGTAAAAGCCTGCTCGACTTGGGTGGTCAGGGCTGAGCCTGCCCCCAATTTGCCTCATTGCTGATGCATGTGAGTTCGACATTCCCAGTGATAATGTTGTTCCTAATCAATCTGCCCTTATTTACATTTGTAAGCATTGTCGGCTTTAATATGCATGCCCTGTGCAGGGGACCGCTGCGCCACACCGGGTTTGTTAACTTCCACTAGTATTCTCCAGACCTGAGATGAGGCTGACAGGAGGAGCCAGGGCTGTGAAGGTGTCTGCTGGGAAAAGTCCCTTTAATGGTCTTTCTGCAGCATGGCTCCCCCGTGAGAGTTACCCAACAAGTGAGAAGCTTGATGCCTTTTCAATCAGCAGGAGTTGCTGGCCCTCTTTCTTGAGTATCCCATTGTCCCTTTCCAAGTAAAGTCCATCTCAATGCATTAATTGTCATTTTGGTCTCCCCATCATGACCCAAGACTTCATTGGAATTTGTAGTTTCAAAACACATTCCTTAAACTCTTAAAATATGATTCCCTCATATCTTCTCTCTTCTCTGCTCCAATAGTTAAACAGCCGTGGCCACGCCACACACATCTCAGAAATGACATCTGATTATCCAAATGATGACACTGAAATAAAACATTTGCCCTTTGTGTTTGGACATTCCAGTGATAAGCAATTGTGGGAGCTGCACTTGGTGGAGTAATGAAAAACCATGATAGGACTTGACTTTTCACTGGTTTCCCAGATCCAACTAATTGGGTCTTTAAAATGTAATGTAATTTAGCTAATATTTGCAGAGTACAAATGAATGAAGGAGTAAATATATCTAGTAATTTGACCCTTGGGCCATGTTATAATTTTGTCTCCGGAGTTTAATACTCCTTTCCACAAATGCAAAGAACTGCAAACATTACATTAAGTGCCACAAGTATTCCTGTTGAGAGGCTATGATGGGG